GTAAAAGATTTTCCACATTCATTGCATTTATAAGGCTTTTCTCCAGTGTGGATGAGTAGGTTGGGCATTATCCCATGCACCAAAGAGTTGATTACATTCTTGCTCTGCAAAAATGCTGGGTTTGCAGGTTCTATCCCTAGTAGGGGGTATACAGGAGGCAGGCAATCAATGTTTTGCTCTCATTACATGTTCCTCACTATCCCCCTCCCTATTTTTATAAAAATCAATTTCAGAATCTTAAAAACCAAAAAGGAGCATAGTTCAAATTAGCTAGAAGCTTTTATTAAAAAGAAAAGAAAAAAAGGTATTACCCCTGACAGTGTGAACCACAAGTTATCATATGAGATGTTGGCAGATGACATGACTCTACTTCGAGAAAAATGTTAAGATCCCACTATGAGCTTCTGAAATTAAAAACAAATTCAGAGCCCTGGCCAGGTGGCTCGCTCTATGAAAGTGTGGTCCCAATATCCTGAGGTTGTGGGTTTGATCTCCCTTCAGGACACACCCAGAGGACAGCCAATGAATACATAGATCAGTGGAATAGAGATTAATGTTCACCTCTATATTTCTGTCTATCTCTGTCACACTTCATTTCTCTAAATTTAAAAAATAAAAATTTTAAAGACAAAATTAATTTGGAAAGGTTACAGGATGTAAAAGTCAAAACATAAACATCAGTTTCATATCTACACATTAACAATAAATTCTTTGATAGAGAAATGAAGAAAGTAGTCAAGTTTGAAATAGAATCAATAATAAACTACTCGGGAATAAATTCCACCAAAGTGGAGAAAGGTCTGTACACTGATCTCAAGACAGTGATGAAAAAATGGAAGAAAACACAAACAAATGGTAAGACATCTGTGCTTTAGGATTTCAAATTTAATACCCTTATAACGTCTATACTACCCAAAGCAATCTACAGATTAAATGCAATCCCGATGATAATGTCAATAGTATTTTACAAAGAAATAAAAACAGAATCTTGAAATGTATGGAACCAAAAGACCTGGAAGAGCAAAAGCAAACTTGAGCAAGAACAAACCAGGTGGCATCAAACTTCCTGACTTCAATCTATTACAAAGCCAAAGCAACCAAACAGTGTGTTACTGGAATAAACATAGAAAAACAGACCAACAGAACAGAAGAGAGAAGACCGAAATAAACCCAGGCACATACATTCAAGTATCCTTTGACAAAAACCACAAGACACACAATAAAGAAAAGAGTTTTTTCACTGAATGGTGCTGGTAAAAGTGCATATTCACAGGCAAAACAACAAAACTGGCACCACTGAAAAAAAATAAACTCAAACTGCATAAAATAATTAAATGACAATCCCAAAACTTAAAACTACTTCAAAACAACCTACAGAAAAAGCTTTGGACATGATTTTCTGAATGTGACAACCACTACCAGGCAAAGAGGGAAAACTAAACAGTCTAAACAACAACAAATGAAAAAGCGTCTTCACATCACAACAGCAAATAACAAAATGATATTAAAAGGCAATCTAGCCCTAACCAGTTTGGTTCAGTGGATAGAGCATCGGCCTGCGGACTGAAGGGTCCCAGGTTCGATTCTGGTCAAGGGGCTGTACCTTGGTTGGGGGCACATCCCCAGTAGGGGGTGTGCAGGAGGCAGCTGATGGATGTTTCTCTCTCATGGATGTTTCTAACTCTCTATCCCTCTCCCTTCCTCTCTGTAAAAAATCAATAATCAATAAAATATATTTAAAAAAATAAAAATAAAAGGCAATCTAGCCCTGGCTGGTTTGGTTCAGTGGATAGAGCATTGGCATGTGGACAGAGCATCGGCATGTGGACCAAAGGGTCCTGGATTCAATTCCAGTCAAGGGCATGTACCTTGGTTGCAGGCACATCCCCAGTAGGGGTGTGCAGGAGGCAGCTGATGGATGTTTCTCTCTCATTGATGTTTCTAACTCTCTATCCCTATCCCTTCCTCTCTGTAAAAATTAATAAAAGTATATTTAAAAAAAGGCAATCTACAGGATGGTAGAAAATACTTGCAAGTCATATGAACACATTGCTTGGAGATGTTGTGAATTCAGTCATATCTCCACAAAAAAGTGAATATTGAGATACAGAAAGAAATTCTCACAAGTATTTGGAGTTCCAATTAATAATAAAGACAAGGTAACACTATACTGCAGGCTAATAAAAACACAACTACTCTGTGTGAAAACTACTTTATCAGTACAGAGTAACAAGCTCAGGGAAATTCAGAGACCTAAAGTGACCACAAAGGATGGTCTGAAATTAAAACTTTCTAACTAAAAGTAGTTAATGAAAGCCAAAACCGGTTTGGTTCAGTGGATAGAGCGTCAGCCTGCGGACTGAAAGGTCCCAGGTTCGATTCCGGTCAAGGGCATGTACCTGGGTTGCGGGCACATCCCCAGTAGGAGGTGTGCAGGAGGCAGCTGATCGATGTTTCTCTCTCATCAATGTTTCTAACTCTCTATCTCTCTCCCTTCCTCTCTGTAAAAAATCAATAAAATATATATTTTTAAAAAGTAGTTAATGACAGATAGACATGTCCTCAGCTGGAATATTCAATAATAAAAGTGAATCTTTACCTTAACTGAGCCTATCATCTTTTGCATTTATGATAACATCCCTTTGGAATGTCAGAGTAACTGCCCTTTTTGGGATTCCTCAGGGCACAACCAAATGCACCATAGCAAAGACTACAAATACTCTCATTGCTATTTTCATCATATTAATATTGATTATTATTGAATATCCTGTACCCAACTATGTAAAAGATTTATCATTTTACTTTTTATCCAATACCAGAAGTAGCCCCACTTTGCTCTCTTCTGCCTCCTTAATCAATCACCAATGAATTTCATATAACCCAGCTATGCCTGCTCTTTTGATTGTAATGTATCAAATAAGGTGCAAAACTGCCATTCTCTGGAGCATTATATCAATGCCTTGAGATTTTGCTTCCAAGCAACTGTTGAAAGTTTGGACCAAATAAACTCACAAAAATTATTTCCAGGTTTGAATATTTCTTATATTCACGCTGGTCAACAGCATCTGAGCCTGCTGGAAAGATAGCCACACTAAACTTCCTGAATGCAGGATTGCCAAAAACATTGAAGTTGTAAAAACAAAAATACTACCAAGCCCAGCTGTGGTGGCTCAGTGAATTGAGTGTCATCCCATGGACCAAGATGTCCCAGGTTCGATTCCCAGTCAGGGCACATGCCTGGGTTACTGGCTCCATCCCCAGTAGGGCGTGTGCAGGAGGCAGCCAATCAATGATTTTCTCTCATTATTGATGTTTCTATCTCTCTTTCCCTCTCCCTTCTTCTCTGAAGTCAAAAAACTATATTAAAACCAAAACAAAAAACCCTCAAAATATCTGCAAAGCACAATTAAGTACATGCAAAAAGAAGAGTACCTGTATGTAATAAAAATTTAATATGTAAAATATAGAAGGTATTCAACACACCCATTAACCAAAAAATATGGTTAAAAAATAGGCTAGAAAAATTAAATGCAAAGAGAGAATCTTAAAGGTAGCAAGAGAAAAGAAAACTGTTACCTACAAAGGAGTTCCCATAAGGCTGACACCTGATTTCCCATCAGAAACTCTACAGGCCAGAAGGGAATGGCATGAAGTACTCAGGTAATGGAAAGCAAGGATCTGCGACCAAGATTACTATATCCAGCAAGGTTATCATTCAAAATAGACGGTCAAATAAAGAGCTTCCCAGACAAAAAAGGCTCAAGGAGTTCATCACCACCAAGCCAGCATTACAAGAGATGCTAAAGGGATTGCTGAGAAGAAACAGAGAAAGAAACCTAGCCATACAGAATTAAAATGGCTATAAATAAGTATCTCTCAATAATAACTCTAAATGTAAATGGTTTAATGCTCCAATAAAAAGGTGTAGGGTAGCTGAATGGATACAAAAACATGACCCAACTTTACGCTGTCTACAAGAGACCCACCTCAAAACAAAAGACACACACAGGATGAAAAGTGAAGAGATGGAAAATAATTTTCCATGCAAAAGGAAAACAACAAAAAAAGCTGGAGTACCAATACTCATATCCGACAAAATAGACTTTAAAAGCATCATGTTAAAAGAAATAAGCTATTTGGAGAAAGATAAATATCATATGATCTCACTCATTTTTGGAATATAATGAACAACATAAACTGATGAACAAAAGTAGAGTTAGAGGGTAAAAAATATTCAACAATATAATAGAAGTAATCCAGTTATTTGCAGATTTTTAGTATTTCCTACAACTTTTGTGATACAATTTTTGTAATTATTATAATTATTCTTGAATTATAATTATTATATATATGGTCATTTTTCTTGAATAATTGATGTTTATTGCATGTAACATCATTATATTTAAAATCATTTTTCTTGAAATAAAATAAAAAAACTGAAAGTAAATAAAAAATAGGCTAGCCCGGCTGGCATGGCAGAGTGGTTGAGAGTAAACCTATGAACAAGGACAGGAGGTCAGGATTCGATTCCTGAATAGGGCACATGCCCGGGTTGCGGGTTCAATCCCCAGCAGGGGGCGTGCAGGAAGCAGTCGATCAATGATTCTCTCTCATCATGGCTGTTTCTCTCCCTTCCTCTCTGAAATCAATAAAAATATATTTTTAAAAAATAGGCTAAAGATGTAGAGGCATTTTTCCTAATAATATGCACAGATGACCAACAGGAATATATGGAATGCTTTTCCTCACTAATCAAGGTGGAATCCATTGGGCAACCTGCCACAATACCAACCACAAATCCCTGCCAAGGAGTTCAGTACAGGAGGTGTTGTGATTGCAGAAAAATTCAAGGCCAAAGCAAAGAAACCAGACCTACCAAGAACAGCAAGGGCCCAAAAAAACTGGAAAGACAAGCAGTGAGGACAGAGCACACCCTGCGTAAAGGGGCATGAGGATATGTAAAGCCAAGTCCAGATCACTGGTGAGAGCGAGGGTCTTACCCAGGGAGGATAGAAGTTCAAAGTTCTCCAGCATCACATTCAGGTACAGCTGTCTCTGACCCTCATCAAGGAGGCGCCATTCCTCCCTGGAGAAGTACAGGGCAATGTCCTCAAAGGTCACGCCACCCTGTCAGAATGGAGACAATTGATTATTCAGGATTTTTTTTTTTTGTATGTTCGTTGTAATTCCAATTTGGTCCTGGGGTTGTGTCTGTGTAGCATCCACTTACTCTGCAGCCAATTTTAAACTCCCAGAATTGAAACCAAAGCTGTCTGAGAACCCACAATCCTACTCCTTACACATCTTCCCCGCCCTCAACCTCCTCCAGGGCTCCCAGTTAGTGTGGACACCAGGCCCTAAGGCCAGTGCAGGCTGCTTTTACATCACAGTCCTATTAATTACTGTTACTGCCCTCAGCTATAGCAGAGGGTTTGGGGCCTGGGAGTGCATGCATCTCAGCTCTGGGCCTTGCCTGCAGGGCCCCACCCCGGTCCCCCAGACCAAGCCTCCAAGACAAAGCCAAACCGGGGCTTATGCTTCACCCTGAAGTCTCCACACCAGGTACCAGGGACCATCAGCTCACACTTCCTCTTTCTCTAGATGTGCACACCACTGTGTAATGTCTACCTTCTTCCGACCCCAAGTTCACTCCCTCAGCTCTGCCCCCTTCCTACTCCATCCCAGTAGATCAACCATGAACTTGGCATATGGTATCCGAGAGTGACTGTACCATAGTCCAGCGGCCGGATCCAGGACCACCCCAGGCCCCTGATGGACCCACAGACGGGAAAGCCCCGAATGAGCCTGTGCCGTCCTCCCTGCAGCCTCTGGTCTTTCCGTCAATACTCACAGCCACATCCTCAGGGACCTTCAGGTGCAAGTCACCCCCGTCCTCTCTGCCCTGCACTTGCTGTGTCCTCAGAAGCCACAACACTCCTCTCTCCCCTCCACCTTCCTCACGGTCCCCCACGCGGGACTGAGCTGCAGGACGGGACAGGCGCCCGCACCCGGCTGTCCTGTTGGGTGTGAGGAGGCGGTGAGGGCCCGGGGGACGCGCACTCACCTCAGCCCCGCGCCTCGGGGCGGGCGCCGCCATCGGACTGTGTGTGCGGGGCCGGGCGGGAGCGGCGGGAGCAGAGGCCGCGGCGGGAAGGGCGGTCCCTTTCCGGGCCCTGGAGCGGGTCACCCGGGCGGGGACATCGAGCTTCACACCCGCGCGTGTGCTGTGTGCGCCACGATTCTCTTGCCTTCTCTGTCGGGCCATCTCCACCGGGACCCAGCGCTCTGGACGCTCCGCAACAACAGCTGCGTATGTTTGGATGGAGTCAAAATGCAGGCGCTGAGGATGCAGGAAGTCCCGCCCCTTGAAACACCTTTTCTGAGCCTTCATTGGCTAAGCTGTTAGTATTCCACACATGGTGTTCTGGGTAATGTAGTTATTGAGTCCAAGTAAGTGATCAGGGTTTTTTTTACTTTTTCTTGTTTTTCCCCTCATCACTCCTGTAGAAAACACGGAGATCGCCACTGGAGGGGCTATGAAATGTCACGTCCTCATGAGAGAGACATCTTGAAAATGGCTACAGAAAGCTGTCATCTCTTCCAGGTGAAGGGACTTGAGTCCACGTTGATGAAAAGAGATTATCTGGCCTGGCCATTGTCACTGAATGGTTAGTGTTGACCAGTGAACTAGAAGGTCCTGGTTCAATTATCTGTCAGGGCACATGCCCATTTCGGGTTTGATCCCCAGTAGGGGGCGTGCAGGAGTCAGGGGATCAATGATTCTAATCATTGATGTTTCTCTGTCTCTCCCTCTCCCTTCTCTCTTCCTCTCTCTGAAATCAATTTTTTTTAAAACCATATTTAAAAGCACACACACATTATCTGTGATCCAAATATAGCAGTCATAATTAAAGCAGCATGGAGGAGTCTGAAAAATTTTATCACATAGATGACCTACTTACACCATAGTATATGTATTTGACAAATATAACACAAGAATGTAGGCCCAGACTTTGAAATAGAAAAGATGGAACTCTCTTGTTTCATTATAATTTTAACATCAAAATAAATAAATTTTGGAAAAAGTGGGAGAGTTTGTGAACAAAAAAGGGCCACATATTATACCTGACAGGCTCCGTGGAGGCCTGAGTGGCAGCCTTACCAACTCAGAAACCACACAGGAGAGTCTGAAATTAAAACTTTCTAACTAAAAGCAATTCATAGTGAGTCATCACATCCTTGAGTAGTATTTTTCCCTAACAAAACATCAATCTTCACCTTAACCTAGCCTATCTCTAGTCTATTTACACCTTGAATAACATAATTGGTAACATGCTTTTGGAATAACAAACAATCCCCCCCCACAACCCCCCATCCCCTCAAAGCACAAGCACTGCAACAGTTTCCCCCTCATTGTTATTGTCATCGTGTTAATTGCTGACTGTTAACTATCCTGTACCTGCTAGGGGCAAAAACATAATATTGGGGACTAGCTATGGTTATAGGAAATATTAATCACCCTCTGTTAATCCTGTTTGCCTCTTTCTGGTTAAAGAAAGGACATTCTAACCTGGCTGAGAGTTTTACATTCCCAGGACCTGGGAGTCAACCTTAGAAAGTGGTCCAATTGATTTCAGAGAGGAAGGTAGAGGGAGAGACAGAAACATCAATGATGAGAGAGAATCATTGATTAGCTGCCCCTTGCACACAGCGCACTGGTGATTCCCTCACATGTGCTCTGCCAGGGAATTGAATCCTGAGCCACGCCTGCCAGGCATCCTGATGTGATCGTTGTCCTACCCCATGTAAGCAGCTGGTGTATGTGGGTGACCTGCTGCCCTCCCATATTGCCGGCAGTACTGGAATAAATATTCATATAAGATTCAACCCAGTCTCTGCTTAATTGGCTCAAGTAGTGACAGGCTGACCGGACCCATTGGTTGTCCAGTTTCATACCCACCTATGGAAAAGAATCATGTGTCTATCATTTTAATTTTTGTCCAATTCTAGAGGTCACTCCTCCCTTTGTTGTATTGTAAATCAGAAGACGCCTTAATCAATAAGCCAAATTCATTTGGAATCCTATTCATTACCGCTAGCAGTAGCGGGCCCAGAGGAACTCTTGCTTCTCAAATTCTGGGGCCCAATGTGGTGGAAGTCTTTTCAATTTATATGCGCAGTGAGAAAAACCTGAAGTTATTTTCAAGGTCCACCATTTCTTACTTCTTTTCAGTCAGGTCAAGTTTCTAAGTTTTCTAAATCTCTGTTTTCCGGTGAATGAAAATAAAATCGGATTCCACCAAGTCTATCTACCTGCTCCAGGACTTCTGTGAGGATCAAATGAGATGAGGCAAGAGAAAACGCTTCACAGGCATTTGATTAAAGTATGAAATGTTTTCACCTGGCTGTGAAGCAAGTCGTGTTCCTGGACTGAAGAAACTGCAAGGAGGCTAGTCGCTAGGGAGAGGAAGCCGGGTGTTGCTACGTGATGTCATTACCCAGATGGTCAGACACTTAGCATATTAGCCTTTTATATATAGACTAGACGTTCTGTGCATGAGATTCTCACTGCGCAGAATACAGTGGGGCCTTGACTTACGAGTGTCCCGACTAACGAGTTTTTTGAGATACCAGCTGTCGCTCGGCCAATTTTTTGCTTTGAGTTGACAGAGTAATTTCAGTTAACAAGCTCCTTAACGAGCTCGGTCTCGGAACGAATTAAACTCATAAGTCAAGACCCCACTGTATAGTCAAACACTGCTGCAGTGAAATATTTTACCCTTTGTTCTGCCTGCGTGATCTATAATAATAATCTGGTTCATGTTGATATTTACTGCTGTGTTGCCGACAATTACCTGAAAGAGAAGTTGGGGTACTTCACTGGGCTGGAAAAAGTTTAGCTACATCAGAAAGCAAGTCTAATTAAGCAAGTTTATTCTATATCTATAAAAGGCTAAGTTGACTCCCGCATGCACGATACATATAAAGCTCTCGCTGTCTCCAATCGCACATGTGTGTTTCCATCTGTCATTGTCGATCGTGAATTTGGTTGACAGCAATAAAGAACATGCTTTTGGTCACTACTCAAGTAGAATCCATTAGGCTCCCTGCCACGCAACCATCCACAAACCCTTCCCTATGAGTTCACTACAGCAGGTGTTGTGACTAAAGGTATAGAAGGGAGCAGTGCAAACAAACCAACCCTCCCCAGGACAGCAACTGCCCAGAAAACTTGAAAAATCATGCAATGTATACCGTCCACAGCTGAGGACAGAGCACCCCCTAGAGGTGAGGGGGCCTGGGGAAATGTAAAGCCAAGTCCCAGCAACCAGCCAGAGTGAGGGTCTTACCCAGCAAGGATATAAGTTCAAAGTTCTCCAGCATCACATTCAGGTACAGCTTGTCTCTGATCCTCATCAAGGAGGCTCCATTCTTCCCTGGAGAAGTACAGGGCAATGTCCTCAAAGGTCATGCCTACCAGTCAGAATTGAGACAATTGAAACCAGAGCTGTCTTTCTGAGAACCTAAGATCCTGCTCCTTACACATCTTCCCCACCCTCAACCTCCTCCAGGTCACCCCAGTTTAGTGTGGACACCAGGCCCTAATGCCACTGCTGGTTCCTCTCTCATCACAGTCCCATTAGTCACTGTAATTGCCCTCAACACAACAGATGGGATGGGAAGGGCTACAGCAGAGAAACACCATCTAAGCTCTGGGCCATGCCTGCAGGGCCCCAGCCTTCCTGCGAAGCAATACCACTGCAGTCTCCCAGATCATGCCTCCAGGACAAAGCCGAACATAAGCTTATGCTTCACCCTTTAGTCCCAACACCAGCCCTAGCTGGTTTGGCTCAGTGGATAGAGTATTGTCCTATGGACTGAAGGATCCAGGTTTCCAGTCTAATGAAGCACACAGGACGGGTTGCGGACTCCATCCCCAGTAGGGGGCGTGCTGGAGGCAGCCGATGGATGATTCTCTCTCATTGATGTTTCCATCTAAACTTTAAGTAAAGTTTATTAAGTTTATTTTAGGGAATGTTGTGGAGTGAAAGAAGATGTAGTGTCGAGGATTGAGAAAGGTATGATGAGATGGTCTGGAGATATAGAGAGGATGAACAAAAGGAGATAGACAAAACAAGTATACAAAACGAGTGTGGGAGAGTTGGAAGGGGTTGACCTCAGGGAACGTACCTCAATCAAATTGAGGACATCTTTAGCAAAGGCCAGCTTAGGAGTACCCTAGTTAAGTTAATAACAATGTACCTACCTATATAGTTTAAGATTAAAAAATTTGGCTTTCTCTCAAAAGAAATTTCAATCGTTGTACTGTTGATATTTGGCTCTGTTGACTAATGAGTTTGCTGACAACTGGTATAATAGAGGGTATAAAGGAAAAAGAAAGTAAATTGACAAACAAAAGGGTTTGTGTAAGTTGCAGAGGATCTGTAAACAATTAAGTTGAGGAAATAAAAATAGTAAGAAAGGATATAAAGAAAGGAATACAATAGAAAGGACGATATGGGAGTAGAAACACTTAAGAGTAATTGTAAAAGTTGTAAGAATGTTTATGAAGTGAGCCCAGGCCTGTGTGGCTCAGTCGTTTGGAGAATCATCCTGTGCACTGAAGGGCCATGGGTTTGAGTCCCAGTCAGGGCACATACCCAGGTTCAATCCCGCTTGGGGCATGTACGGGAAGCAACTGATTGATGTTTCTCTCTCACATATATCTCTCTCTCTTAAAAAAAAAAAAGGAATAAAACATAGCCTTAAAAAAAAATGTTTGTGAAGTGATAAAAAGGGTTCTGAAGAGAATCTTAAAAGAAAATTATAAGTATATAACAAATTTTATAGAGCACCTGAATTAACTTAAAAAGTAATCATATTATTTTAAATCTTAGCACACATATACTTATGTGAATAAAGGGTCAAATTTCTTATATGTAAATAGAGGATTAAGGTTTTCTTAAAGTTTTCTTTCCCAGGCCTGTGCAAAGTAATTAGGGAGGTGACTCAACTGTGAACCCAGCAAGCAGAACCAATAAGCAGTATCAGACCAACCCACCAGAAGTCAAAACATCATCTCATCGCCTGATGACTAATTACAATAGCTGACATCTAAGGACCCCCGGGCCTGCATGTAGCTACATTCCTCACCCTGGTCTCTTCCCCTTTATAATCCTGTCCACTACACCTTGCTAGAAGGCAGGATTTAATGCTTGTAAGCACCCTGTCTTCTTAATGGGACTAACCATTGGTATCATTATAATTCTTTGTTTTTCTTATAGTCTACAAAATCAGAACTTGAGAAGAAAACGTGCTTTCAGGACCCTGACATTCAAAGCAGAATGTTCGCTGCTTCACTCTGTCTAGTACATCCAGCAAAACAAAATAGGGGGACATACAGGGAAGCAAGTCAGTGTATGTGAGAGCACCTGGTGTTTACAAGATCTTTATGCTTAGTCTTTAGATGTTACTTGCTTAAAGGACACTGCAGATGCATGTGTCTTCTCAAGGATGCTTACCCTGCTGATAATATCTAACAGTTAGTTTTAGCTCAAGCTGTGGTTACAATAAAAGCCTAAGGAGGCAGGCAAACAGGGCTCTTTGGTTCCTATAACCAGGCAGTCCCTTAGCCCTCTCTTTCACAGAAACGTGGGTCAAAGTAATGATTCATCCATCACTCAGGGTCTGTGGGTCAGTCCTGGCATTGTTAAGTAAACGTGGAAAATCTTCATTTCTGTAGTTGTGGATGTTTCCAACAGCTCGATATTAGTTTAGACTTGCCAGGTTTTTGTGAGAATTAAAAATGAAAATGCTCAAAAAGCAAATCCTGGTACAGGCAAGTACTATTTGTCACTTTTTTGATCCTCAGAGTCCTAGGGAAGTCCTGTTAACACCTTCATGTCACATTTTAGACAACTGAAGTGCAAGAGTTCCTTCTTTTTTACCGCAGCACAGTATTCCATTGTGTAGCACTGAATTTTTGACAAAGGTAAATAACACTTATATCCATATAAAGAATTATACATAAATGTTTGTACCAGATTTATTAGAAATAACCAAATATTTATTAAAATGGACAATATGAAAAAAAAATGGACAACTTATGGTGATATATCAATGATAAGAATATCTATCAGAAAAAAACATGAGTTACTTATAATCTTAACTAAATCTCCAAGTATTTATGAAACATAAATTAAAGAACAAAAATGCTTAGAAAAACCAAAGTTTTGTATTAAAATGGAATGTAAATCCATGGTTACTAGGAAAGCTGTGAAGAACAAGGACACATTAAAAGAGGTCAGAAAGCAATTACACAGTGACAGATATGGTCAGTATTATGAGTATAACGACTGTTACAGTTTCATGCACCTGTCAAGATTTATGAAACTCTATACTTAACACATGTCATTTACTCATTATAGCTTTTCAAAAATGGTTCAAGATAAAACAAATGTATGTTCATCTATTTTGGAACAACAGGTTTGGCAACACTATATTCAATCCACATTCTTTTTCTTTTTCTTTTTTTTTTAAAATATATTTTATTGATTTTTTACAGAGAGGAAGGGAGAGAGATAGTTAGAAACATCGATGAGAGAGAAACATCGATCAGCTGCCTCCTGCACATCTCCTACTAGGGATGTGCCCGCAACCCAGGCACATGCCCTTGACCGGAATCGAACCTGGGACCTTTCAGTCCGCAGGCCGACGCTCTGTCCACTGAGCCAAACCGGTTTCGGCTCAATCCACATTCTTATGTCCTCTGGGCGAGAGTCTCACGTCAGTGACATAAAATGTAACAAACAATGAAGAACTTTCACCCAAACCCACTGGAATGCTGACTGGGTCACAAAAGCCACATCCCTGGATGAAAGACAGTCTTTGTCTTCATCTTGTTTTGCTGCCAGTGCACCAATGGCTCTTATGGGAACATCTGAGAAGCTACAGGAAGCCACAAAAGCTACTGATTATATTCAATGACAATGACTGCTCCACAGAAGATAAACATGCCTGGAGTGGCTCAGATATGTGTACACACAGCTCTTGTAGTTTTTTTTTAAAAAAAAGCCCGGATGCACGTTTAGGTGAGGACCATTCCATCTAATGGGCTGCAGTCTTGTTCAACAACAATTAGGTCTGTGTTTCTGCAGTGAAAGGGTTTCCCCTACTTGCGATGGTCCTCAAACCAGTGACCAACACCCATGAAATTGTAGGCATTAGGGCACATGGCCCTCTGCAAGACCTGCGCAAGTGATTCCCTTCAAATGTATTGTCATCCCTTGAAGAGTAGGAATAAATTCATGCTACAAGAAGACCTACTTGAGGCTGTCATAGCTACCCCCTCTTTGGAGTGATCTCTGTGTCTCAAAGCATCCAGAACATCACATAAGGACTAGAGAGTCCACAGTGTTTCCTAGGAAAACATGGGCAGCAATGTAAATTTGGCAAAAACTGCTAAGATAATTTCTGCACCATAATGTTTCCCCAAGGGCAAAAATATTTCAGACCCCATAAACGTTTTTCACCTCATCATGCTTGGAAAGTGCAGATCTCGTTATAAACTAACCCATATAGTAAACAGCACACCCAAGATTAAAGAAGTCTTAGGAAAAAGCCTTCATTATTTTACAAACCAAAGAGACATGTGACTGGTAGTTCTTCCATTGGTGACTTAGGCACGCAATAAAGTCATCATTAGTATCTGCGGAAAGTGTGTCCCTGAAAATGGCAGTTCTTCTGCAACATTATGTTTACTGGGGCCAACAGTAATCAGTCCTATGTGGCAACACAAGACAGGGAAACAAGAACTAAGGGCTCAGGTATTCCTCATTTTCTTCAACAAATTAGGCAACAGAGTTAGCTTCCCTGGGCACAGGAAGATGGTGACTGATGCCATCTGTAGGGACCTTATAGGTGGTTCAGGTGAAATACCTTCAGCAACAGAAATATGCAGTGACATAGACCTGGCAACACATCTCTGTATGTTAGAAAGTGCAACATAGATTCATATGATACCAACATAAACAAACATAACAACAAAGTCACTTGAGGGGACTTTTCATAAAGTAGGTGATTAAGTGTATGAGATACAATTCAGACTAATGAGACTTCACAAACTTTCTTATACTATTGCTAAGATGGAACTAAGAAACATTTCCTACACATCTAAGATATTTCTCACATTTGGTCTCTTTTGTGCATAGCCAATTAAAAAATTTGGCTGAGATATCTCACATTAACTGGACTAATAATGGCTTTCTCCACTGTGAAATCTCTGATGATATAGGAGATGATCGCTCCTGGTAAGAGATTTCTCACACTCATTGCAGTTATAAGGCTTTTCGCCTGTGTGAGCTCTGATGACAAAGCAGGTATCTGCTAGTGGTAAAAGATTTCCCACATTTACCACACTCATAAGGCCTTTCTCCAGTGTGAACTCTCTGATGAAGATGAAGATCACTGCTCCTGGTAAAAGATTTCCCACATTCACTGCACTTGTACTGACTTTCTCTGGTGTGAAATCTCTGGTGACACTTAAGTCTATCAATCCTCATAAAAGAATTCCCACATTCACTGCATTTATAAGGCTTTTCTCCTGTGTGAATTCTCTGATGCCGATGAAGGGTAGTGCTAGTGGTAAAAGATTTCCCACATTCACTGCATTTATAAGGCTTTTCTCCTGTGTGAATTCTCTGATGACAATAAAGGGCAGTGCTCCTGGTAAAAGACTTCCCACATTCACTGCACTCATAAGGACTTTCTCCAGTGTGAAATCTCTGGTGACAATGAAGTCTGTCAATCCTCGTAAAAGATTTCCCACATTCACTGCATTTATAAGGCTTTTCTCCTGTGTGAACTCTTTGATGACGATGAAGTTCACTGTTAGTTGTAAAAGATTTCCCACATTCACTGCATGTATAAGGCCTTTCTCCAGTGTGAAAACTTTGATGGTAATGGAGGCCACTGCTATTGATAAAAGATTTCCCACATTCACTGCACTCAAAAGGACTTTCTCCAGTGTGAAGTCTCTGGTGACAATGAAGGCTATCAATTCTCTTAAAAGATTTCCCACATTCACTGCATTTGTGTGTCTTTTCTCCTGTGTGAACTCTCTGATGACGATGAAGGGCAGTGCTACTGGTAAAAGAATTCCCACACTCACTGCACTCATAAGGCCTTTCTCCTGTGTGAAATCTCTGATGACAATGAAGGCTATGCATCGTCGTAAAAGATTTCCAACATTCACTGCATTTGTAAGGCTTTTCTCCATGTTCATAATGAAAGCTAGAAAATTTGGTAAAGTAATTCCCACATTTACAGCACAGAAAACACTGACTTCCAGCATGGACACACTTGTCCTGAATAAACGTGTGATTGCAGCCAATGACTTTGTTATATTTTTTTCTCCTTTGAAACTTCACCCCACATTTCAACATATCTTCTGGCCTATTGCTGGTCTCAGCAGCCTTTAGGTGGAGATGTCCTGACTCAGTAAGGACACCCTGTCCCACCTCCCCCCAGGTGACATGATTCTGGGACACCTGGAAATTGCAGCTGTTTGCAAGTGAGATCCTGTCCACATCTCTAATGAAAGTCTTCTCTCTCACATGCTGCTGGTGAAATTTTGTACTGAAATAAAATGCTTGTGCACACGCCCCACACCTCAACAGTATCTGTCTGTGTTGCTCAGTCAAGTGGAAAATGTTTCCCAAGACTAGACCACACCTCTCACAGGGGTGGCTCTCCTCAGAAGACAAGGCTAACTTGGGAATACTTGCCTGTGACACTCTTACAGAAACCTTCTGTTCAGTGGGTGCCTCCACATCCTCTGTTCCACAGCAGCAACCTGAACAAAAGGAAACGTTGGTGAAGTACATGTTGAACTTCTGAAAACTGAATATCTTCAACACAGATGTTTATCTGTCATGACTAGGCTTGATTCCATAGAAAGATTTTCAAGACAAATGAGTTAGATTCTGAGAAAATGGCTGTTATACATTTCTTGGCCCCAAAGGTCAGTCAATGGTGAAAATCTCACCAAGGGAGGTACAGAGCACAGGATGGGACACAAAGAAGAGAGGAAGGGTCTGCTAGTTGTTCCTCCAGAAATGGCTTCCTTTAGGACCTTTCATGCTGGTGAACTGAGTCTGTGTAGAACAATTCAAATGTGCTCAAACCCATAAAAATCAATTGTATTAGAGCACATGATGTTCTACCTCAATACAGTAATAGGTGTGCACTCTAAGGCTCTGCAGGCATGGAACAACGGTGCAGGGCACTAAAGAGAGACCTGTGAAAGAGGTAGAGGTGAAAAGTTTAGAGAGCTTAGGTTATCCATGGACTGCGAATCCAAGGAGAATGAGCACTGATCACTATTAAAACTGAGTCGTTGGCAAAGTGTCAACAAGAAGCAAGAACAAGTAGAATTGGGTGAAGAATGGGCAATGGTACAAAACACTGTAGAACCAAATGGGCTCCTTGTTATGAATGTAACAAAGCCCAGGTGATTTTTTTTTGGTTTTTTGTTTTTTTTAAAAAATATATTTTATTGACCCTTCTACAGAGGAAGGGAGAGGGATAGAGAGCCAAAAACATCGATGAGAGAGAAACATCGACCAGCTACCTCCTGCACACCCCCCACTGGGGATGTGCCCGCAACCAAGGCACATGCCCTTGACCAGAATTGAACCTGGGACCCTTCAGTCTGTAGGCCGATGCTCCATCCACTGAGCCAAACCGGCCAGAGCAGCCCAGGTGTTTTATTACAGCCCTTTATTCAGGCAAAACCACCTTTGTTTACATTGTTTCATTCATAAAGTCATTTCTACTGTGATGCAGAAATAATTCTTCCACTTAATTTCCAGTTGATCCATTACACGGCATAAATGATAGAAATCACAAAAGAAACATTGAAAAGATGGTCAGCACTGTGGTACAACAACTAGCACAGATGAGATCATAGGCAAAAGACCTATGTGAGTGACATCAGCAAGATGGCAGAATCAGAGATATGAGAATCTTTCCCCATCCCAGAGTAAGTAGACAGCTATGCATGAATAAAAAACCCCCACAGGAAATGAGAATAAGAGTACAATGAAGACAAACAGTATTACAGAACACCAGATAAGGACAACTGCATAGAAAGAATGACTGGAAAGACTGGGTGAACAAATATATTTAAAGACAGCTACAGTCAAAAACAAGGGTCAGAGTTACCTCCAGCAGCCACTGTGCTTCTGCTATCCTTGACCATAGTGGCCTGTTATTCGAAAAATACTGGAATTTATAAAATATATATATACTTTTGTTGATTTCAGAGAGGAAGCAAGAGGGAGGGAGAGATAGAAACATCCATGATGAGAATCATGATGGGTTGGCTGCCTCCTACAAGTCCCCCACTGGGGATGGAGCCCATAACCCGGGCATGTCCCCTTGACCGGAATTGAACCTGGGACCTTTCAGTTCCCAGGCCAATGCTCTATCCACTGAGTCAAATTGGCTAGGGCTGGAAATTTTGTTTTTAAAAACCACAGAATGGCCCCAGCCAGACTGGCTCAGTGGCCAGAACATAGGCCTTTGATTGCAACCCTTGGATCCCAGGTTTGATTCCGGTAAAAGGCACATACCCGGGTTGTGGGCTTGATCCCCAGTAGGGGGCATACAGGAGGCAGCCAATCAATGATTCTCATCATTGATGTTTCTATCGCTCTCTCCATCTCTCTTCCTCTCTATCTGAAACTGAATATAAAAAAATAAATAAGAATTCCAGGGTAGCCAAATAAAAAAGAGAACAGAAAAATGTATAGAGGCAAAGTAAATGAAAAGACAGCCTATTGCAGCTCATGTATAAAATTCAGAAAATGCAGTTGAACCAGTTTGGCTCAGTGGATAGAGCATCGGCCTGCGGACTGAAGGGTCCCGGGTTCGATTCCGGTCAAGGGCATGTACCTTGGTTGCGGGCACATCCCTGGTTGGGGGCGTGCAGGAGGCAGCTGATCGATGTCTCTCATCAATGTTTCTGGCTCTCTATCCCTCTCCCTTCTTCTCTGTAAAAAATCAATAAAATATGAAAAAAATAAAATAAAATTCAGAAAATGCAATTCTAAGGGGCAATTTTATAGGGATAAATAACATACATTATGGGAAAAAAAATCTCCAAAAATACTGGCACCTCAGAAAACTAGAAACAAAACAAGAAAGTAAACCCAAAGGTTGGAAAAGAAAGAAACAATAAATATTAGAACAAACAAAAATAAAAGGAGAAAAGACAAAATACAAGAATACCTAACAGGTATTTTTTGAAAGATACAAAATTGGAAAAAACTTTAACTACACTAACAGAAAAACACCAAAACAAACCAAGCCTCAAATAAATTGTAAAGAAATGAAAGACATTACATTTGACCCTATGAACCACAATGCATCATAAGAGATGTTGATGTTAGCAGGTGACATGACCCTCCATAGAGAAATTTGTCAAAATGCCACTATGAGCTTCTGAAATTAATAAACAAATTCAGAGGCCTGGCCAGGTAGCTCAGTTGGTGAGTGTGTGGTTCCTATGCACCAAGGTTGTGGGTTTGATCTGCCATCAGGGCACATGCAGGGGAGAGCCAGCGAATGCTTACATGGGTAGAACAGCAGATCAATGTTTCCATCTCTCTCTTTCTCTGTCTCCCTTCCTGTCTCTAAAATCAATAAATAAAGGATGGTTAGTATGGCTTGGTGATTGAGCATCGACCCATGAACTAGGACAGTGATGGAGAACCTTTTGAGCTCGGCGTGTCAGCATTTTGAAAAACCCTAACCTAACTCTGGTGCGGTGTCACATATAGAAATTTTTTGATATTTGCAACCATAGTAAAACCAAGATTTATATTTTTGATATTTATTTTATATATTTAAATACCATTTAACAAAGAAAAATCAACCAAAAAAATGAGTTCGCGTGTCATAGGTTCGCCATCACTGAACTAGAAGGTCACAATTAAATTCCTTGTCCGGGCACATGCACAGGTTGTGGGCTCAATCACCAGTGTGGGTCACACAGGAGGCAGCCCATCAATGACTCTCTCTCATCACTGATATTTCAATCTCTCTCTATTCCTCTTCCTCTCTAAAATCAATTAAAAAAATATTTTTAATATAATTTATAGAATAAATAGACCTGTGCTGCTCACTGGTGAGAGTGCTGGCCTGTGTATTGGAGGGTCATGGATTAAATTCCCAGTCAAGGGCAGGTACCTTGGTTGCAGGTCTGATACCGCTACCAGTAGCAGCAAATGTGGAAGGCAACCAATCGATGTTTCTTTCTCTCTGGCTCTCTCTCATTTTTCTCTCTCTAAAAGAAAATAAATGGAAAAAATATTCACACTATATGGGTGAAGATAAAAGAATAAAGAACTAAATTCAGAAAAGTGACAGGATGCAAAATAAACGTACAAACATTAGTTCCATTTCCACACACTAATAATAAATTCATTTTAGATAGAAAAATGAAGGCCATCAAATTTACAGAAGCATCAGAAAATAAATAAAATATGAATAAATTCGACCAAAAGGTAAAACATCTGTAAATTGAACACTATAATACAGTGATGAAAGCAATGGAAGTAAACACAAGTTGAAAGACTTCCTGTGTTCATGAATTTGAAAAAGAAATATCGTGAAGGTATCTAGAGTACACAAAGCTGTTTACAGATTGAATGCAATCCCAATGATAACTCCAATAGTATTTTCAAAGAAATGAAAAGGGAATCTTGAAATGTATGGAACCAAAGGATGTCCACTAACAAAAGCAATCTTGAGCAAGAACAAGCTGGTGGTACCAGTTTATTACAAAGACAAAACAAGGAAACAGTGTATTATTGGAGAAACACAGACACATAGATCAGTAGAACAGAACAAAAAACACAGAAATAAACCCAGGCACATACTTTCAAGTCATCTTTGACAAAGCTGGAAGACACCGAAGAAGAAACAGATGGTTTCTTCAATGAATGGTGCAAGTATAAATCGACATTCACATGTAAAACAACAAAACTGGCCCTCACAGATAAAATGTAACTCAACCTGCAGGCCAGAATTAAATGTCAGCGCTAAAACTTAAAACTCCTCAGGACAACCTAGAGAAAAAGTTTCGGAGGTTTGTTTTGGACAGGATTTCTGGATGTGACACCAACCACCAGACAAAATAGAGAAAACAAACAGTCCAGACTGCAACAAATAAATAAAAAAGCTTCCTCACAGCACAACGGCAATAAACAAAATGAAATGAAAGGCAATCTAGAGAACAGAAGAAAATACTCACAAACCATATGAAGGAATCTCTTGGAGGGACTATGGATTCAGTTCTGATCAGCACAAAAAAGCGAATATTGCAATACAGACAGAAACACACAAATAGATGGACTTCCCAATGAACAATGAAGGTATGTTAATACTATACTGCAGGCTAATAACAATGCAATGACTCTGTCTCAAAAGCAAACTCTATTTAACTTCATTAAAAATACTTCATTGCTTTGACCCGAGGCTCGTAGATACTTGAAGAGTCTTGGCCAAGACTTTGTCAGATTACAAATACTAACCCATGTTAGTTGCTTGTCTACAGAGCCTTCAATGCCACCGCATAGGTAGCAATGAGATTCAATAAATGAAAAGCATCCAGACATCATTTTAGACTTTAAGATCTCCACACTAATGACCACTTTGCAAGCTCAGGCTGGCAGTATCGTTCAATGCTTCCCTGAAGACCTACTCTGAAGAGTTAGGCTTCCAGGACATATAATAACACCCCCAAAACACTGGGCTCACAAGATGGGGTTGTATTTTGACAGGTCTTTAACTGGGGCGGTTCAGAAACTGTACTGGGTCAGTTCTCCTAGATCAGGGATGGCGAACCTTTTGAGCTCGGCGAGCCAGCATTTTGAAAAACCCTAACTTAACTCTGGTACCGTGTCACATATAGAAATTTTTTTATATTTGCAACCATAGTAAAACAAAGACTTATATTTTTGGTATTTATTTTATATATTTAAATGCCATTTAACAAAGAAAAATCAACCAAAAAAATGAGTTCGCGTGTCACCACTGACACGCCTGTCATAGGTTCGCCATCACTGTGCTAGATGGTAGGTCGTGTGACTATAATCAGGTACTGTGGCTGGAATTGCATGATGTCGCTCTTTGTACGTTGGCTGAGGTACGGTGCATAACTGTAAGAGCTGAGATGTTGAAGAATATGAAATTCAAAAACAAAAAGGATGAAATATGCCTATATGAACCCTGCTTAAAGACTGCTCTGGAAATAAGGCCTTATTATTTCCTTCCACGTGTGATTTTTCATCAGAAACTATGCAGTGTGGGGGCGAAAGTAGACTTACTGTTGTTCATTTGGAAAATAATACAATTAATAGATAATAACAGGCATTCTAATTCCTTCCACTTCTCCCATTTAATAAAAGGTTTAAATTGTGGGGGCCGCGTTGGCTACCCTGAGAGGGAATGGAAGCGGGTTGGAACTCTGAATGGGTGTGCTACAGTTGATTTTCTGAAGGCGAGGATTCGGAGTTTCTTTTTAAATTTCTGTTTGTTGAAGCAAAACAAGCCCACAATCCTGGGGGAGAACCAAGATGGCGGCGTAAGGTATAGACCTGTGCGTGCTGCCTCCCACAACAACATTGAAACTACCAACTATAAGACAAACAGCTATCATTCAGAACTATGGGAAAGCTGGCCCAGTGGAAGGTCTACAACTGGAAGGAAAGAAAGAAGCGCATTGAGACTGAGTAGGATATGCAGAGACTCCAAGAACAGAGGTACGGAGTCGCGCACCCAGTGGGCTGCAACTGGATGTGCGGTTTTTTTCAATCAGAAGGGGTTACAAACTCTCGAATCCACTGAGCTTGTTTGGGGTGGGATTCTGAGGTCCAAGACCCCTATGGGGAGAGGTGGGACGGCCTTGCAGCGGGTCAGAAAGCGAGGTGGCTCTCTTGCAGAGATGCTCGCCGGCACTTGGGGATGCGGAGTCGCAGAGTCGCAGAGAGATGAGGAGCCTCAGAGACGCCATTGCTGTTTGCTCCGCCCCGTGACTCCCTGAGACCCCGCCCTACTCAATTTACATCCCCGCCCAAGCTGTGCCAGAGGCACATAAGGAACCACTTGCGCTTTTGCAGCATAACCCAACAAACTGTAGATTTCAACTCCTTGCACCCATAAGGGACACACTCAAGAAGCAAACTCAGGTTCGGAGGAAGCTGGAGCTGGACCCGGCTGGGCAGGCGACATGGAACCAATGTACCAGTAAACACACAAGCAGGTCCACCAAATCCAGTCTCACACGGGACACCGGGAGACAGCAGACAAGCAGTCTGTGCACTTAGTAGAAAACGAAACCCAAGCAAGCATACCAGATATTCAGCCAGCTAGAAAGCCTGGAGATTTTGTCCAGCAAGGAGCCTCCCAACAAAAGACAGAATGCCAAACTTCATCTTGACCAGTTAAAGTATGATGTCCAGCACCTGCAGACGGCTCTTAGAAACTTCCAGCAGGAGAGACAGCGAGAGGACCTTCTGACTCGCACCTTCAACCCCAACGTGGGATGCGGCGCTCCCTGCGAGGCTGCGGTGCCCCCTGCGAGGCTGCGACAGTCCCAGTGAGGCTGAAACGGTCCCAGTGAGGCTGAAACGGCCCCTGTGAGGCTGAGACAGTCCCAGTGAGGCTGAGATGGTCCCAGTGAGGCTGAGACGGCCCCAGTGAGGCTGCGACGGCCCCTGCGAGGCTACAAAGGCCCCTGCGAAGCTGTGACAGCCCCTGGGAAGCCGGCAGAACCGCGCGAGCCACCAGATGGCTTCGTTGAAGGCCCGCGAACCAGCACACAGCCCCAAGCACAACTATCACCCGAAGGGCGAGAGGGGCGAGAGCAGCTGTAGTGTTTCTTTCTCCTCACTTTTGGTAACGAAATCCTCATGTTAAACATAAGAGGACACATTATTTTAAAAAGCCGTTACGTGTCTCCGTACCTTTTCTGAGTAGAGTGTGAACAAGTTGTGAGAGACCTTTCTAAACAGAGGGACACGTCGCAGATGGAAATAGCTACATTTTCCATGTGTATGACCTTTGACACGACAACAAAAAGTGTACACCTATGGATGAGGGCAGAGGGTGGGGTGGGAACTGGAGGGGAGCTATGGGGGGAAAAAAGGGGAGCAACTGTAATAATCTGAACAATAAAGATTTATTAACAAAAAAAGAAAGAAAAAAAAAAGGTTTAAATTGTAAAAAAAAATAAAATAAGAATACGAGGAGAATCCTAACTGGTTTGGCTAAGTGGATAAAGCGTCAGCCTGCGGACTGAAGGGTCCAGGGTTTGATTCCAGTCAAGGGCACGTACCTTGGTTGCGGGCACATCCCCAGTGGGGAGTGTGCAGGAGGCAGCTGGTCGATGTTTCTCTCTCATCAATGTTTCTAACTCTTTATCACTCTCCCTTCCTCTCTGTAAAAAAATCAATAAAATATATATTTTTAAAAAATACATCTTATGTTGGGGATTACCTTCATTTTGTGCATTCATTCGTTCTTGTGGAATCTGATACAGTTTGAGGAGTCATGTACATGTTTATGCAAAAATGTTTATTGAAGTGATTCCATTAGTATTGTGTTCTAATACTTGGAGAATTACCATCATTTTTATATAGGAAATGTCCCCTCCACCCCCTGCCTTATTTTTTTTTATTTACAAAAACTAATTTTTTAATGTAAAATATCTATATATATAAAAGCCTAATATGCAAAGTGTCCCCTCAGGAGATTACTTGCTGTGATGTATGCTGACCACCAGGGGGCAGCATAGAACGAAGGGAGGCCCTGGCCAGCAGCCAGCAACAGAGGAAGGGAGGCCCCAGCTGGGAGCCAGCAGCCACTAGGGACCCTACCTGTGCACAAATTTTGTGCACTGGGCCTCTAGTTTATAATAAAATGTAAGGTGAATTCCATACATATTCAATAAAAACCATATCTTAAAGTTAAAAAAGATACTTTTACTGCTAAGCACTAGTAGCAAGTATCTGAGCTTGCTAGAAAAATGGTGGACTAGACTGCTGAACGCAGGGTTGCCTAAAACATGGAACTTATAAATAAGGCGGTGTGGGGGAGTAATACCCGAGAAGCACAAATAAGCACATTAAAAAGTATGTAACAAGATATTAATATGTAAAATGTACAAGGTATTCAAAAGACTCTTTAACCAAAAAATAGAGTTAATAAATAGGATAAGGACGTAGAGACAATTTTTCAAAAAATATGTACAAATGACCAACAGGAATATAGAAAAGACTTCCCTCATTGATCAAGGTGGAATCCCTTACCTTCCTGCAACCCTACCAACCACAAGTCCTTCCCTGTGAATTTAATGCAGCGGGGAGTATTGGGACTTCAGGAATAGAAGGGAGCAATGGAACCAGACCAACCTCCCCAGGACAGCAACTACCCAGGAAACTGGAAAATCAATCAGTACCACAGTCTACATGGGAGGACAGAGCACACCCTGGGGGATGGGGCCTGGGAAATGGCAAAGCCAAGTCCAGGTCACTGGTGAGAGTGAGGGTCTTACCCAGGGAAGATGTAAGTTCAAAGTTCTCCAGCATCACATTCAGGTACAGCTGTCTCTGACCCTCATCAAGGAAGCTCCATTCCTCCCTGGAGAAGTACAGGGCAATGTCCTCAAAGGTCACGCCAACCTGTCAGAATGGAGACAATTGAAACCAGAGCTACCTTTCTGAGAACCAGTAATCCTACTCCTTACAAATCTTCCCCACCCTCAACTTCCTCCAGGGCACCCAGTTTGTGTGGACACCAGGCCCTAATGCCAGTGCAGGCTGCTCTCTCATCACAGTCCCATTACTCACTGTGATGGCCCTCAGCAGAGCAGCTGGGTTGGTGGGAAGGACTGGGGGAGGGGAGGGTGGAGGGCAATGCCATTTAAGGTCTGGGGGATGCCTGCAGGGCCCCAGCCTTCCTGCCAAGCAACACCACTAGATCCTGCCTCCAAGACAAAGCCAAGCGTGCGTTTATGCTTCACCTTTGAGTCCTGACACCAGGTCCCGGGGACCATCAGCTCACAGTTCCTCCAGATGTGCACACCACTGGGTAATGTTTATCCCCTTCCCATGTTCACACCCCAGGTTCACTCCCTCAGCTCTGCCCCCTTCCTGCTCCAATGCCACTGGATTTCGCTGGACTCACCCATGAACTTGGCATATGACATGTAAAGAGCTTGTAGTCCAGCCGGATCCAGGACCACCCCAGGCCCCTGATGGCCCACAGCCGGGAAAGCCCCGAATGAGTCTGTGCCGTCCTCCCTGCAGCCTCTGCTCTTTCCGTCAATACTCACAGCCACATCCTCAGGGGCCTTCAGATGCAAGTCACCCCCGTCCTCTCTGCCCTGCACCTGCTGTGTCCTCAGAAGCCACAACACTCCTCTCTCCCCTCCACCTTCCTCACGGTCCTCCACGCGGGACTGAGCTGCAGGACCGGACAGGCACCCTCCCCAGGCTGTGGAGTCTGTGTGAGGAGGCGCTGAGGGCCCGGGGGACACAAACTCACCTCAGCCCGTCTCCTCAGCACCGGCCGGGCCATTGCCCTCTGTGGGCGGAGCGGGGCGGGAGCGGCGGGAGTAGAAGCCGCTGCAGGAATGGAGGTCTCTGTCCCGGACCTGGCGTGGGTTTCGGCAGTGATTCCGAACTTCAATCCCACGTGTGCGCTGTGAGCACCACTGCAGGCTCCACCATTGGCTGTGAGGCGGGGAAAAACACTCTCCAGTCTTCTCCTCTGGACTGTGTAACCAGGAAATCCCGACCTCCTGAGACAAAAGGGAGCGAAAACAAAATCTACGGGTCTAGCCTTCAGAACCAGAAAAAACGGAAACGCCTTTTCTGAGCTTCCATTGGCTCAGCCTGGTGGCATTCCACGCCCGGCCTTCTGGGTAATGTAGTTTCTACGCTCCAAGGCCAGGATCCAGTATTTCCTCAGCTGACTCCAGGACTGGTTTTGAATGCAAATAGCCCAAGAAAACACCAAGTATACTCAGGGCCCTCCAGGGCCTTCAGGGGAGGGGATTATCAGGGAAAGTTTGTTCCTGAGGCACCTGCCTGGCTTCCTTAACTGCTGGTTTTGCATATCTTTCTTTAAGATCTACTCTTTGTGAATGACAGGCATTGTGTCTTCATTAAGGCCATTTGGCATCTGTCTCCTTCAGGCCAAATGTAGCTTGCAGAAGTTGCTCAAGTCTCTAACTCGATCTAACCTGCCTGCATTGAATCCATTATACAAAGTTAATGTCACAAAACAGACACTCATACTTAAGAGCATCTGCTTCTGATGCCATTCGAAGTGTAAGCTCTGCCTGGGCTGCAGTGTGGATAAGATGGCCAAGAGAAAAGTGAAAAAAATGTTCAAAGCCACTGATTATCAGAGAGATGCAAATTAAAGCAATAATTAGATACCACCTCACAACTGTCAGAATAGCTACCAGCAACAAATGACAAGTGCTGGCGAGGACATGGAAAAAAGGGAACCCTAGTACACTGCTGGTAGGAATGCAGACTGGTGCAGACAATATGGAAAACAGGGAGTTTCTTCAAAAAATTAAATATGGAACTGGCATTTGAGCCTATGATCACACTTGTAGGAATATATCCTAAGAAACCTGAAACAACAATCAGAAAGAATGTACGCACCGCTATGTTCATAGCAGCACAATTTACAATAGTTAAGATTTAAAAACAGCCCAAGTGCCCATCAGTAGATGAGTGGGTAAAAAAGCTGTGGTACATTTATACCATAGAATACTATGCAGTGGTAAAAAGAAGAATCTCTTACCCTTTCAGACAGCATGGAGGGGCCTGGAGAGCATCGTTCTAAGTGAAATAAGTCAGTCAGAGAAAGACAAGTATCACTTGATTTCACTCATATATAGAACCTAATTAACAAAATTAACTAATGAATGGAGTGGATCCAGAGACATGGAAGCTTGGAACAGAGTGCAGAATCTCCGATAGAAGGCGAGAGAGGGTAAAGAAGGAAAAGAAAAAAAGAGATTAAACATCTCTGGGTGAGGATTAAAGAAATATACAAACACACCAAAGTCACCTGAGCCTTGAACATTTTCTTCTGTTCTGTGGAAGCAACGAGAAAGCTCTAGCTTGCTGGGTTCTGGGTCTGCTCTACATTTGTGTTTATAAATCTGTCTTCGTCAGTTGTGTCCCTGAAAATGCTGATACCCCTCCATGTAACCTTCTCCTGCTTCACATGAGTCAATTGCTTTTGGTGGTGTTGTAAGAAATGTCCAAACATGTGGAGAATTCGTCTAAGTTTATTTGGCCCAAGCTGGTCCCAACTGCCAGAAACAGAATAACAACAGGTTGAGTAATTCTCGGGAGAACGGCAATTTTGCACCTTTTTTATACATTAGACTCAAAGGAGAAGACATAAGGGGGTTCATGAAATTCACTGGTGATAAATTAGGGGGGAGATGAGGAAAATCTCTGGGGTTGGAGGGGCACGGCATAAGTGCTCTGGTACTTTAATAGGGGAAGATTCAAAATTTCAACAATGCAAATAGCAGCTTTAGGTGAGCCTCCCCAACGGGCTTGACCAGCACTGGTAGACACTGTCCGTGGCTCTGGAGCCAGAATATTGGATTGCAACCCAGCCTCTTACATCTGACACTTGTTTGGTGAGTAAACTTGGAGAACCTACTTCATATCTGTAATCATGGACCTTCCCAGCAATTTGATATTAGTTTCGACTTCCCAGGTTGTGGTGACAAAGAGAAAATGCATACCCTGGCTAGTATGGTTCAGTGGTTGAGCATCTACCTATGAACCCAGAAGTCGTGTTTAGGTTCCTGGTTAGGGCATATGTCCAGGTTTCAGGCTTGGTCCCCAGTAGTGTCTGTGGGGAAGGCAGCCAATCAATGATTGTCAGCATTGATATTTCTTTCTCTCTTTGTCTCTCCCTTCCTCTCTGAAATCATCAAAAAGAAATAAAAAGAAAAATGTAAGATATATACATATTTTTCTAATACAAAAAACATTTACTTCATAAAGCAAAATTGGCACAAATTGAGTGAAATTCCAACATCCATCTTTGTTGTTTCAATATCTTTTTTTTTTTAAATATATTTTATTAAGTTTTTACAGAGAGGAAAGGAGAGAGATAGAGAGTTAGAAACATCGATCAGCTGCCTCCTGCACACTCTCCCCCCCCCCCCCCCACTGGGGATGTGCCTGCAACCAAGGCACATGTCCCTGACCGGAATCGAACCCGGGACCCCTCAGTCCGCAGGCCGACGCTCTATCCACTGAGCCAAACCGGTTTTGGCTCAATATCTTTTTCTTAAAGAAAATTGCCCACACTCATAGCACATTAGGCCGATGATATGATTAGATGTTTTAGCAAAAATAGCGACATAGCCCTAACCAGTTTGGCTCAGTGGATAGAGCGTCAGCCTGGGGACTGAATGGTCCCAGGTTCGATTCCGGTCAAGGGCATGTACCTTGGTTGCGGGCACATCCCCAGTAGGAGGTGTGCAGGAAGCAGCTGAAGGAAAAATGCAAAGTACAATCAGTTAAGGTTTATTTTATTTATTGACTTTTAAACAATCTTTATTATTTATTAGCATATCCTAGAGCTTGGCTATTGGTTGACTCACTCTGTTCTTAGAAGACATGCTCATAGAAACTGATGTTGTTTTTTTAAATATATGTCTTTATTGATTTCAGAGAAAAAGGGAGAGGGAGAGATGAAAACATCAATGATGAGGGAGAATCATTGATCGGCTGCCGTCTGTTCGCCACCGACTGGGGCTCGAGCCCGCAACCCAGGCATGTGCCCTTGGCTGGAATCGTACCTGAGAGCCTTTAGTCCGCAGGCTGATGCTTTATCCACTGATCCAAACCGTCCATGGCAAGTTTTATTTTTAAAGAAGAGTTTACTAATTTTTAGAGAGAGAAGGGAGAGGGAGAGAAATATTGATGGAAGACTGCCATATCGGCCAGCTGCCTCCTGCACACCCACTTCTGTGGATCTAGCCCACAACACAGGCACTTATCCCCGCTGGCAATCAAATCCACAACCCTGTGCTGCACCAGATGATGCCTGAGCCACACAGGCCCTGGTGGTATATTCCATTTAGATTACAATTTGCTAATCTCAGTAAATTTAAACATTCATCTACCCAAAAACTCAGATTATGTACTGAGTTTTTGACAAAGGTAAATAACACTTATATCCATATAAAGGATTGTGCCCAAATGTTTGTACCAGCTTTAGTAGAAATAACCAAATATGTATTAAAATGGACAAACTGATGGTGATATATTCAAAGATAAGAATATCTACCAGAAAAAAGATGAGTTACTAATATATCTTTCATAAACCTCCAAGCAGTTATGAAACATAACTTAAAGCAGAAAAATACTTAGTTTAAAAAGCAAAGTTGCCGAAACCGGTTTGGCTCAGTAGATGGAGCGTCGGCCTGCAGACTGAAGGGTCCCAGGTTCGATTCTGGTCAAGGGCATGTACCTGGGTTGCGGGCACATCCCCAGTAGGAGATGTGCAGGAGGCAGCTGATCGATGTTTCTCTCTCATTGATGTTTCTAACTCTCTATCTCTCTCCCTTCCTCTCTGTAAAAAATCAATAAAATATCTTTTTAAAAAAAAAATAAATAAAATAAAAAGCAAAGTTCTCTATTAAAATGGAATGTAAATCCATGGTTAATAGGAAAGCTGTGAAGAACAGGGACACATTAAAAGAGGTCAGAAAGCAATTACATAGTGACAGATATGGTCAGTATTATAATGATGGTTACAATTTTAGGCATATGTCAAGATGTATGAAACTCTATACCTAACACATGTAATTTACTCATTATAGCTTTTCAAAAATGGTTCTAGATAAAACAAATGTATGTTCACCTATTTTGGAACAACAGGGTTGGCACCACTATATTTAATCCCCATACTGATGCCCTCTGGGCGAGAGTCTCATGTCAGTGACATAAAATGTAACAAACAATGAAGAACTTTCACCAAAACCCACTGGAATGCTGGCTGGGTCACAAAAGTCACATCCCTGGAGGAAAGACAGTCTTTGTCTTCATCTTTGTTTTGCTGCCAGTGCACCAATGGGTCTGATGGGAACATCTGAGAAGCTACAGGAAGCCACAATAGCTACTGATTATATTCAATGACAATGACTGCTCCACAGAAGATAAACATGCCTGGAGTGGCTCAGATACGTGTACACACAGCTCTTGTAGTTTGTTTTTGTTTTTAAAAAGCCAGGATGCACGTTTAGATGAGGACCATTCCATCTAATGGGCTACACTCTTGTCCAACAACAATTAGGTCTGTTTCTGCTAGGAAAGGATTTCCCCTACATGCAGTGGTCCTCAAAGCAGTGACCAACATCCTTGAAATTGTAGGCATTAGGGCACATGGCCCCCTGTGAGACCTGCACAAGTGATTCCCTTCAAATGACTTGGTATCCCTTGAAAAGTAGAAATAAATTCATGTTGCTAGAAGACGTACTTGTGGTGTGACAGCAACCCCTTCTTTGGAATGATCTCTGTGTCTCAAAGCATCCAGAACATCACATGAGGACTAGAGAGTCCAGAGTGTTTCCTAGGAAAATATGGGCAGCAAAGTAAATTTGGCAAAAACTGCTAAGTTAATTTCTGCACCATAATGTTCCCCCATGGGCAAAAATATTTCAGATCCAATCAATGTTTTCCACCTGATCATGCTTGGAGAGGCCAGATCTCTTTATAAACTAGCCATAGAGTAAAGAGCACACCCAAGATTAAAGAAATATTAGGAAAAAGCCTTCATTATTTTACAAACCAAAGAGACAGGAGACTGGCAGTTCAATCACGGATGACTCAGGCTCTTAATAAAGTCATTATTAGCATCTAGAGCAGTGGTTCCCAAACTTATTTGGCCTACCGCCCCCTTTCCAGAAAAAATGTTACTCAGCGCCACCTGGAAATTAATTTTTTTAAATTTTAATAGCAATTAAACAGAAAAATATATGTATTAATGTTTCTACCTTTTTCGTAAAATATAGTAAAGCAAGGTGTAAATTAGAAACATTGAAGTTTGAAATTATGAAACTATTTATTGAACTCAGAATAGAAAGGTAATACAAAAAAAGTTAAAACAAATGCACCTGTGGCCATCACCACCCCCCTGGATCGCTGCAGCGCCCACCAGGGGGCGGTAGCACCCACTTTGGGAATCACTGATCTAGAGAAAGTGTGTCCCTGAAAATGGCAGTCCCCCTGCAACATTATGTTTACTGGCGCCAACAGTAATCAGTCCTATGTGGCAACTCATGATAGGGAAACAAGTAAGAACCAAGGGCTCAGGTATTCCGAATTTATTTCAACAAATTAGACAACAGAGTTAGCTTTGCTGGGCATAAGAGGATGGTGACTGATGCCATCTGCAGGGACCTTATAGATGGTTCAGGTGAAATACCTTCAGCAACAGAAATGTGCAGTGACATAGATCTGGCTACATGTCTCTGTATGTTAGAAAGTGTAACACAGATACATATGATACCAACATAAAAACAAACAAAACACAACAACAAAGTCACTTGAGGGGACTTTACATAATGCAGGTGATTAAGTGTATGAGCTACAATTCAGATTGACGAGACTTCACAAATTTTCTAATACTATTGCTAAGACCGAACTAAGAAACATTTTCCACACATCTGAGAAATTTCGCACAATTTGACTCTTTTATGCAGAGAAAATTTTAAAAGATTGGCTGAGAGATATCTCACATTACTTGCACTCATAATGGCTTGGTCCACTGTGAAATCTCTGATGATATAGGAGATGATCGCTCCTGGTAAGAGATTTCTCACATTCATTGCATTTATAAGGCTTTTCTCCTGAGTGAACTCTTTGATGACAAAGAAGGTATCTGCTAGTGGTAAAAGATTTCTCACATTTACTGCACTCATAAGGCCTTTCTCCAGTGTGAACTCTCTGATGAAGATGAAGATCACTGCTCCTGGTAAAAGATTTCCCACATTCACTGCATGTATAAGGCTTTTCTTCAATGTGAAAACTTTGATAATGGAGGCCACTGCTCTTGATAAAAAATTTCCCACATTCACTGCACTCGTAAGGACTTTCTCTGGTGTGAAATCTCTGGTGACAATGAAGGCTATCAATTCTTGTAAAAGATTTCCCACATTCACTGCATTTATAAGGCTTTTCTCCTGTGTGAACTCTCTGATGACGATGTAGCTCACTGCTAGTGGCAAAAGATTTCCCACATTCACTGCATTTATGAGGTTTTTCCCCACTGTGACCTCTCTGATGACGACAAAGGGCATTGCTCCTGGTAAAAGATTTCCCACATTCACTGCACTCATAAGGACTTTCTCCAGTGTGAAATCTCTGGTGACAATGAAGGCTTTCAATTCTCTTAAAAGATTTCCAACATTCACTGCATTTGTAAGGCTTTCCTCCAGTGTGAAGTCTCTGGTGACGACGAAGGGCAGTGCTACTGGTAAAAGAATTCCCACATTCACTGCACTCATAAGGCCTTTCTCCAGTGTGAAATCTCTGATGACAATGAAGGCTATGCATCGTCGTAAAAGATTTCCAACATTCACTGCATTTGTAAGGCTTTTCTCCATGTTCATAAAAGCTAGAACCTTGGGTAAGGTAATTTCCACATTCATAGCACGGAAAAAACTGACTTCCAGCATGGACACAGTTGTCCTGAATAAACGTGTGATTGCAGCCAATGACCTTGTTATATTCCTCTCCACTTTGAAATTTCACTCCACATTGCAAAATATCTTCTGATCTATCGCTGGTCTGAGTAGCCTTTAGGTGGAGATGTCCTGACCCGGTAAGGACACCCTGCACCACCTCCCCACAGGTGACATGATTTTGGGACACCTGGAAATTGCAGCTCTTTGCAAGTGAGATCCTGTCCACATCTCTAAAGAAAGTCTTCTCTCTCACATGCTGCTGGTGAAATTTTGTACTGAAATAAAATGCTTGTGCACACGCCCCACACCTCAACAGAATCTGTCCGCGTTGTATTCCCTGCAGCTCAGTCAAGTGGAAAATGTTTCCCAAGACTAGCCCACACCTCTCACAGGGGTGGCTCTCCTGGGAAGACAAGGAGGGTAACTTGGGAATACTTGCCTGTGACACTCTTACAGAAACATTCTGTTCAGTGGGTGCCTCCATATTCTCTGCTCCACAGCAGCAACCTGAACAAAAGGAAACGCTGGCTAAGTACATGTTGACCTTATGAAAACAGAGTATCTTCACCACAAATATTTATCTGTCACAACTAGGCATAATTCTATAAAATGATTTTACAGACAAGTGAGTTAGACTCTGAGGAAATGGCTGTTATACATTTCTTGGCCCCAAAGGTCAGTCAATGGTGAAAATCTCACCAAAGAAGGCACAGAGCACAGGATGGGACACAGAGAAGAGAGGCAGGGTCTGCTAGTTGTTCCTCCAGAAATGGCTTCCTATAGGACCTTTCATGCTGGTGAACTGAGTCTGTGTAGAACGATTCAGATGTGCTCTAACCCATAAAAATCAATTGCATTAGAGCACATGATGTTCTACCTCAATACAGTAATAGGTGTGCACTCTAAGGCTCTGCAGGCATGAACCAACGGTGGAGGGCACTAAAGAGAGACCTGTGAAAGAGGTAGAGGTGAAAAGTTTAGAGAGCTTAGGTTATTCATGGACTGGGAATCCAAGGAGAATGAGCACTGATCACTATTAAAACTGTGTCGTTGGCACAGGGTCAACAAGAAGCAAGAAGAAGAAGAATTGGGTGAAGAATGGGCAATGGTTAACAAAACAGTGTAGAACCAAATGGGTTCCTAGTTATGAACGTAACAAAGCCCAGGTGTTTTGTTACAGGCCCTTATTCAGGCCAAACCGCATTTGTCTACTGTGTTGTTCATAAAGTCATGTTTCTACTGTGATGCAGCAATGATTCTTCCACGTAATTCCCAGTTGATTCATTGCACGGGATAAATGATAGAAATAACAGAAGAAAACACTGAAAAGATGGATGGTCAACACTGTGGTACAACAGCAAAGCACAGATGAGATCACAGCAAAAGACCAACGTGAGTAACATCAGCAAGATGGCAGAATCAGAGATCTGAGAATCTTTTCCCATCCCAGAATAAGTAGACAGCTATCTATTAACAAAAACCCACAGGAACCCTAATCAGTTTGGCTCACTGGATAGAGCATCGGCCTGTGGACTGAAGGGTCCTATGTTCAATTCTGGCCAAGGGCACAAGCCCGCATTGCAGGTCTGATTCCCAATAGGAGCGTGCAGGAGGCAGCTGATCAATGATTCTCTCTCATCATTGATGTTTCTATCTCTCCCTCTTCCTTCCTCTCTGAAATCAATAAAGAAATATATTTTAAAAAAACCCCACAGGAAATGGGAAAAAGAGTACAATGAAGACAAACAGGAATATAGAAAATCAAATAAGGATAACTGCATAGAAAGGATGGCTGGAAAGACTGGGTGGACAAATATATTTGAAGACAGCTACAATCAAAAACAAGGGTCAGAGTTACCTCCATCAACCATTGTGCTGCTGTTTTCATTGACCATAGTGGCCTGTTATTCAAAAAATACTGGAAATTTTGTTTTTAAAAACCACAGAATGGTCCCAGCCAGTTTGGCTCAGTGGCTAGGGCATAGGCCTGTAGAACGAAGGGTCCTGGGTTCGATTCCAACCCCAGGGTCCCAGGTTGGATTCTGGTCAAGGGCCCATGCCCGGGGTTGTGGGCTTGATCCCCAGGAAGGGGCGTGCAGGAGGCAGCCAATAAATGATTCTTCTTATCATTGATGTTTCTATCTCTCTCTCCCTTTCCCTTCCTCCCTGAAATCAATAAAAAATATGCTAAAAAAAACAACTACAGAATACCCTCACTAGTGTGGCTCAGTTGGTTCAAGCACGGTCCTGTGACACTCGAGGTCTTGGATTCGATGACCAGTCTAGGACATGTATATAGACAACCGATCGATTGATGTTTCTCCCTCACAGCGATGCCTCTCTCTCTCTCTCTCTCTCTCTCTCCCTGTTCATCAGTCTATGTTGTTCTCTATATTCCACAAATGTGTGAGATCATGTGGTATTTATCTTTCTCTGACTGGCTTATTTTACTTAGCATAATGCTCTCTTCCTCTCTATCTGAAACTTAATATAAAAAAATAAGTAAGAATTCTAGGGTAGCCAAATAAAAAAGAGAACTGAAAAAGGTCTAGAGACAAAGTAAATGAAAAGACAGCCTATCAAAGCTCATGTATAAATTCAGAAAATGCGATTCGAAGAGGCAATTTTATACGATAAATGACTACATTATGAAAAAAGTCCTCCAAAAATACTGGCAGTTCAGAAAACTAGAAACAAAACAAGAAAGTAAACCCAAAGGTTCCAAAAGAAAGAAATAATAAATATTAGAACAAACATAAATAAAAGGAGACAAGAAAAAATACAAGAATACCTAACAGGTATTTCTTGAAAGATAAAAAATTGGAAAAAATTTAACTATACTAACGGAAAAAAAAAACAAAAACAAACCAAGCCTCAAATAAATTGTAAAGAAATGAAAGACATTACACCTGTCACTATGAACCACAATGCATCATAAGAGATGTTGATATTAGCAGGTGACATGAGCCTCCATAGAGAAATTTGTCAAGAAGCCACCATTGCAGAAACTGGTTTGGCTCAGTGGATAGAGCGTCGGCCTGCGGACTGAAAGGTCCCAGGTTCGATTCCGGTCAAGGGCATATACCTGGGTTGCGCGCATATCCCCAGTAGGAGATGTGCAGGAGGCAGCTGATCGATGTTTCTCTCTCATCGATGTTTCTAACTCTCTATCTCTCTCCCTTCCTCTCTGTAAAAAATCAATAAAATATATTTAAAAAAAAAAAAAGAAGCCACCATGTCTAATCAAAAAATGGTCAACGACCTAGATAGACAGTTTTCGAAGGAGGACATACGGAAGGCCAAAAGACATATGAAAACATGCTCAAAGTCACTAATTATACGATAGATGCAAATCAAAACAACAATGAGGTATCATCTCACACCTGTCAGAATGGCTATCATCAACAAATCAACAAACAACAAGTGCTAGAGAGGATGTGGAGAAAAAGGAACCCTTCTGCACTGCTGGTAGGAATACAGACTGGTGCAGCCACTGTGGAGAACAGTATGGAGTTTCCTCAAGAAACTAAAAATGGAACTCCCATTTAACCCAATGATTCCACCTCTAGGAATATGTCCCAAGAAACCAGAACCACCAATCAGAAAGGATATATGCACCCCTATGTTCATAGCAGCACAATTTACCATAGCTACGATTTGGAAACAGCCTAAATGCCCATCGGCAGATGAGTGGATTAAAAAACTATGGTACATCTACACAATGGAATACTACACTGCAGTAAAAAAGAAGGAACTCTTGCCATTTGCAACAGCATGGATGGAACTGGAGAGCATTAAGCCAGTCAGAGAAAGATAAATACCACATGATCTCACTCATTTTTGGAATACAGAGAACAACATAGACTGATAAACAGGGACAGATCCAAAGACAGAGAAACAGAGATCAGACTATCAATCTCCAGAGGGAAAGTAGGGAAGGGTGGGGGTAAGGGGATGAGATCAACCAAAGGACTTGTATGTGTGCATATAAGCCAAACCAATGGACATGGACAACAGGGGGATGAAAACATGAGTGGGGGGGAGGAGGTTGGGGGTTAATTGTGGGGGATGAGGACACACTTGTAATACCTTAACCAATAAAGAAATTAAAGATTAAAAAAAAAAAAGCCACTATGAGCTTCTGAAACAAATTCAGAGGCCCGGCCAGGTGGTTCAGTTGGTGAGTGTGTGATCCGGATGCACTAAGGTTGTGGGTTTGATCCCCCATCAGGGCACATGCAGGGGGGAGCCAGTGAATGCATAGATGGGTAGAATAGCAGATCGATGTTCCCGTCTCTCTCTTTCTCTGTCTCCCAAATCAATAAATAAAGGATGGCTAGTATGGCTCAGTGATTGAGCATCGACCCATGAACTGAGGAGGTCACAATTCAATTACCTGTCTGGGCACACGCACAGGTTGCGGGCTCAATCACCAATGTGGGTCACACAGGAGGCAGCCCATCAATGACTCTCTCTCATCACTGATATTTCAGTCTTTCTCTCCTACTCTGCCGCTCTAAAATCAATAAAAATATATGTTTAATATAATTTATAGAATAAATAAATAATCTTGGCCTGTGCTGCTACGTGGTGAGAGTGCCAGCCTGTGCACTGGAGGGTCATGGTTTAGATTCCCAGGCAAGGGCAAGTACCTTGGTTGCAGGTCTGATACCGCTACCAGTAGGGGCACATGTGGAAGGCAACCAATCGATGTTTCTCTCTCTCTGGCTCTCTCTCATTTTTCTCTCTCTAAAAGAAAATAAATGGGAAAAATATTCAGATTACATGGGTGAAGATGAAAGAAGAATAAAGAACTAAATTCAGAAAAGTTACAGGATGAAAAATAAACGTACAAACATTAGTTCCATTTCCACACACTAACAATAAATTCTTCGATAGAAAAGTGAAGGTAGTCCAATTTACAAAAGCATAAAAAAAAGAGTAAATTCGACCAAAAGGTGAAACATCTGTACATTAAACACTACGATACAGTGATGAAAGGAATGGAAGAAAACACAAATAAGTTGAAAGACTTCCTGTGTTTATGAATTTGAGAAAGAAATATCGTGACGATATCTATAATACACAAAACTATCTACAGATTAAATGCAATCCCCATGATAACTCCAATGGTATTTTACAAAGAAATGAAACGGGAATCTTGAAATGTATGGAAGCAAAAGACTTCCACTAAAAAAAGCAATCTTGAGGAAGAACAAAGCTGGTGGCACCAATTTATTACAAGGAGAAAACAAGAAAATAATGTATTATTGGAGAAACACAGAAACATAGATCAAAAATACGGACAAAAAAACAGAATCAACCCAAGCACATACTTTCAGGTCATCTTTGACAAAGCTGCAAGACACAGAAGAAGAAACAGATGGTTTCTTCAATGACTGGTGCTACTAAAAATTGATATTCACATGTAAAACAACAAAACTGGCCCTCACAGATAAAATTTAACTTAACCTGAATTAGAGAATTAAATGGCAATGCTACAACTTAAAACTCTTTCAAGACAATCTAGATAAAAAGTTTTGGAGGTTTGTTTTGGATGGGACTTTCTGGATGTGACACAAATCACCTGACTAAATAGAGAAAACAAACAGTCCAGGCTGCAACAAATAAAGAAAAAAGCTTCCTCACAGCACAGCAATAAACAAAATGAAATGAAAGGCCATCTAGAGGATGGGAGAAAATAATCGCAAATAATATGAAGGAATCGTTGGGAGATATTGTGGACTCGGTTCTGATCAGCACAATAAAGCGAATATTTCGATATGGACAGAAATTCACACGAATAGTTGAAGTTCCCAATGAACAATAAAGATATGTTAATACTATACTGCAGGCTAATACCAATGAAATGACTGTCCCCAAAACAAACTCTATATAACTTCATTAAAAATACTTCATTGTGCCCTAACCAGTTTGGCTCAGTGGATAGAGCATCAGCCTACAGACTGAGGGGTCCCGGGTTCGATTCCAGTCAAGGGCATGTACCTTGGTTGCGGGCACATCCCCAGTGGGGTGTGTGCAGAAGGCAGCTGATCGATGTTTCTAACTCTCTATCCCTTTCCCTTCTTCTCTGTAAAAAAAATCAATAAAACATATTTTAAAAAATGCCTTTGCAATAATTTTTTAAAAACTAATAAATAATTAAGAATATAAGAAGAAACTCGTGTTTTTCTTACAACTGTAAGCCTACTTTTGCCCCGTCTTATGTACACAGTATATTTTATTTATTTATTTATTTATTTTTTAAAATATAGTTTATTGATTTTTTACAGAGAGGAAGGGAGAGAGATAGAGTTAGAAACATTGATGAGAGAGAAATATCGATCAGCTGCCTCCTGCACATCTCCTATTGGGGATGTGCCCGCAACCCAGGTACACGCCCTTGGCCGGAATCGAACCTGGGACCTTTCAGTCCGCAGGCCGACGCTCTATCCACTGAGCCAAACCGGTTTTGGCGCACACAGTATATTTTAAATGGCTGTGTAGGTGGTTTCTAGCTCCCCCTCCATAAGACACAGCTGGTAGATTTTGTCATTTACACAGGCTACAAGCTCTGCTTTTGCAAATGTGTATGTCCACCTCTTGATGATAGTCATTGACCAAATCCCATGCACAGGAAGACATTTCACTGACATTCAGTTTGATTTTTTTTAAAAAATGTATTTTATTGATTTTTTACAGAGAGGAAGGGAGAGAGATAGAGAGTTAGAAACATCGGTGAGAGAGAAACATTGATCAGCTGCCTCCTGCACACTTCCTACCAGGGATGTGACTGCAACCCAGGTACATGCCCTTGACCGGAATCAAACCTGGAACCTTTCAGTACGCAGGCTGACGCTCTATCCACTGAGCCAAACTGGTCAGGGCTGCTTTTTTTTTTTTTTTTTAAATACAGTAGGTCCTCGGGTTACCTTGGAGATTCATTCCTACAGTGCGATTTTCGCAGAAAGTTAAAACCCACCTACATAAGCGCCTCTGCCACTCACATGGAGCACATACACCGTAATAATGAAGTGAAACAGTAAAAAAAACTTAAAAGAATGATAACAATTCCTGACTTTTACCTGTGGTAAATAAATAATAAAAAACATAAAGTACATATGTACATATGTCGAAATGATGGAACTTTTTTTTCCTTATAAATAAATGGGAGATGGCGCCATAACCACAAAATGACGTATGTCAAGTCCGACCTAACCCGAGGACTGCCTGTACATCGTATGTCGGGGATTACCTTCATTTTGGCATCCAACTGTTCTTGTGGAAGCTGATACACTGTGAGTAGTCATGTATGTGTTTGTGCAAAAATGTTTATTGAAGTGATTCCATTAGTATTGTGTTCTAATACTTGGATAATGACCTTCATTTTTATATAGGAAACGGCCAGGCCAGCAAAGCCAGGTGCAATGCGATTGGTCCAGGGGCTCTGCCATTACCCCACAATGGTACGCAGAGGCAGGCCCAGGCCATGACTGGCGGGGCAATCAATGGGAGGTGGGGGGCTCTGCGATTGCCCCAAAATGAAGCCTATTGCCCTGGCCAGTGGGCTGTGGCGGGTGGGTGAGGCCTCCCTCTGCAGATGGATGCATGGGTCCCAGCAGCAAGAGGGAAGCCCCAGTTCCAGGTGCCAGCAGCCAGAGGGAAGCCTGGGTGCTGGAAGCCGGAGGTAAACCGGTGCAGGCAGAAGGAAGGCTTACCCTGGCATGATTTTCGTGCACCAGGCCTCTAGTTTGTAATAAAATGTAAAGGTGACCCCTACACATGTTCAATAAAAATCATGTGTTAAAGGTTAAAAAAATACTTTATTGCTAACCACTCGTAACAAGCATCTGAGCTTCCTAGAAAAATGATGGCACTGGACCTGCCGACTACACCGTTGCCAAAAACATGGAATTTATATTTAAAAAAAAAGGAGTGTGGGGCCCTGGCCGGTTTGGCTCAGTGGATAGAGCGTCGGCCTGCGGACTGAGGGGTCCCGGGTTCGGTTCTGGCCAGGGGCACATGCCCAGGTTGTGGGCCCAATCGCCAGTGGCGGGGGCGTGCGGGAGGTAGCCAATCCGTGATTCTCTCTCATCACTGATGTTTCTATGTCTCTCTCCTTCTCCCTTCCTCTCTGAAATCAGTAAAAGAATATATTAAAAAACAAACAAACAGGAGTGTGGGGAGCAATATGTGCAAAGAACAATTAAGCACATGCAAAAATCTGTGTTCCTGTATTTAGTAAGCAACTAATATATAAAATATACAAGGTATTCAAAAGACTCTTTAACCAAAATATAGTTAATAAACAGGATAAGGATGTAGAGACAATTCGTCAAAAAATAGGTACAATTGTCCAACATGAATATAGAAAATGCTTTCCTCACTGATCAAGGTAAAATTCCTTAGGCTTCCAATCACACTATCAACCAAAGGTCCTTCCCTGTGAAGTTAGTGCAGCGGGGAGTATTGGAGCTTCAGGAATAGAAGGGAGCAGTGGAAATAGACCAACCCTCCCCAGGACAGCAACTACCCAGGAAACTGGAAAATCAAGCAGTACCACAGTCTACATGGGAGGACAGAGCACACCCTGGGGGATGGGGCCTGGGAAATGGCAAAACCAAGCCCAGGTCACTGGTCTTACCCTGCGAGGATATAAGTTCAAAGTTCTCCAGCATCACATTCAGGTACAGCTGTCTCTGACCCTCATCAAGGAGGCTCCATTCCTCCCTGGAGAAGTACAGGGCAATGTCCTCAAAGGTCACGCCAACCTGTCAGAATGGAGACAATTGAAACCAGAGCTGCCTTTCTGAGAAGCAGTAATGCTACTCCTTACAAAACTTCCCCCCCACCTCAACCTCCTCCAGGGCACCAGGTTAGTGTGGGCACCAGGCCCTAATGCCAACGCAGGCTGCTCTCTTATCAAAGTCGAATTACTCACTGCATTGCCCTCAGCAGAGCAGCTGGGTCGGTGGGAATGATTGGGGGAGGGCAGGGGAGAGGGCAATGCCATTTAAGGTCTGGGCGATGCCTGCAGGGCCCCAGCCTTCCTGCCAAGCACCACCACTGCAGTCTCCTAGATCCTGCCTCCAAGACAAAGCCAAGCGTGGGTTTATACTTCGTTATGTGCACAAGTCCCAGGGACCATAAGCTCACACTTCCTCCAGATGTGCACACACCACAGTGAAATGTTTCTGCCCTTCCCACCTTCAGTCCCCAAGTTCATTCCCCTCAGCTATACCCCCTTCCTGCTCCAATGCTACTGGATCTCGCTGGACTCACCCGTGAACTTGGCATATGGCGTGTGGAGAGCTTGTAATCCGGCGGGATCCAGGACCACCCCAGGCCCCAGTTGGACCCACAGCCCGGAAAGTCCCGAATGAGGCTGTGCCGTCCTCCCTGCAACCTCTGATCTTTCCGTCAATACTCACAGCCACATCCTCAGGGACCTTCAGATGCAAGTCACCCCTGTCCTCTCTGCCCTGCACTTGCTGTGTCCTCAGCAGCCACCACACTCCTCTCTCCCCTCCGCCTTCCTCACGGTCCTCCTGGCGGACTGAGCTGCAGGACAGGCGCCTGCACCCGGGCTGTCCTGTTCCGTGTGAGTGGCGGTGAGGGGAGAACCCGGGGGACACAAACTCACCTCAGCCCAGCTCCTCAGCACCGGCGCCTCCATTGCACTCTGTAGTCGGAGCCGGGCGGGAGCAGAAGCCGCTGCAGGAATGGCGGTCGCTGTCCCGGCCCTGGGCGGGTCTGGTGGCGACTCCGAGCTTCAATCCCACGTGTGCGCTGTGAGCACCATGGAGGCTCCCACCACGGGCTGCGAGGCGGGGAAAAGCACTCGCCAACCTTCTCCCCGGGAGTCTGTGACAGGTACCTCTGACCGCTTCAGACAAAATGGAGAAAAGACTACCGGTCCCGCCCACCAGAACTTGAAAAACGGAAACGCCTTCTCTGAGATTCCATTGGCTCAGCCTGGTGGCATTCTACGCGCGGCCTTCTGGGTAATGTAGTTCCCAAGCTCCAGGGCCAGGAGCCAGTATTTCCTTAGCTGACTCCAGGACTGGTTTTGAAGGCAAATAGCCCAAGAAAACACCAAGTATACTCAGGGCCCTCCAGGGACTTCAGGGGAGGGGATTTCTAGGGCACGTTTGTTTCTGAGGCACCTGCCTGGCTTCCTTTAGCTGCTGGTTTTGCATACAGTGGGGCCTTGACTTACGAGTGTCCCGACTAACGAGTTTTTCGAGATATGAGCTGTCTCTCAGCCGATTTTTTGCTTTGAGTTGCGAGCTAAAATTCGGGTTATGAGCCAGCTTCAGATACCCCACAGCTAGTTGGTGCAGTGAATGTCACAGTGAACTCCACATCAGCCCAGAATCACCTCACTCGTACACTTTAATGATTTGACATACGAGTAATTTGAGTTATGAGCTCCGTCACGGAACGAATTAAACCTGTAAGTCAAGGCCCCTCTGTATTTTTTTTCAGGACCAGGTCTTTTCTGAATGACAGGCATTGTGTCTTCTTTCAGGTCATTAGGGATCTGTCTCCTTCAGGCCAAACGTAGTTTGCAGAGGTTGCTCAAGTGCTAACTCATCTAACCTGCCTCCATTGTACAAAGTTAATGTCTCAAAAACAGACATCACTATTTAAGAGCATCTGCTTCTGGGGCCATTTGAACTGTCAGCTCTGCCTGGGCTACAATGTGGATAAGATGGTCAAGAGACATGTGAAAAAATGGTGAAAGACACTGATCATCAGTGAGATGCAAATTAAAGCAACAATTAGATACCACCTCACAACTGTCAGAATGTCTACCTTCAACAAAGGACAAGTGATGGCGAGGATATGGAAAAAAGGGAACCCTAGTACACTGCTAGTAGGAATGCAGATTGGTGCAGACATTATGGAAAACGTAGGGAGTTTCCTTGAAAAAATGAAATATGGAACTGCCATTTGACCCTGTGATCTCACTTCTAGGAATATATCCTAAGAAACCCGAAACAACAATCAGAAAGAATGTACGCAGCACTATGTTCATAGCAGCACAATTTACAATAGTTAAGATTTAAAAACAGCCCAAGTGCCCTTCAGTAGATGAGTGGGTAAAAAAGCTGTGGTACATTTATACCATGGGATGCTTTGCAGTGGTAAAAAAGGGTAAGAACCCTTTCACATAGCATGTAGGGACCTGGAGAGCATCCTGCTAAGTGAAATACGTGAGTCACAGAAAGAAAAGCATCACTTGATCTCACACATAGAAGGAACCTAATTAACAAAATTAACTGAAGAATGGAGTGGATCCAGAGACTTGGAAGCATGGAAGAGAGTGCAGAATCTCAGATGTAAGGGGAGGGAGGGTAAAAAAAAAAAAGAGAACAAACATCCCTGGGTGAGGATTAATGACACACACACACACACACACACACACCAAACAAAGCCACCTGAGCCTTGAGCCTTGAGCATTTTCTTCTGTTCTCTGGAACCAAGGAGAAAGCTCAAACTCAGTGGTTCTCAACCTTCCTAATGCCGCGACCCTTTAATACAGCTCCTCATGTTGTGGTGGCCCCCAACCATAAAATTATTTTTGTGGCTACTTCATCACTGTAATTTTGCTACTGTTATGAACTGTAATGTAAATATCTGATATGAAGGATGTATTTTCATTGTTACAAATTGAACATAATGAAAGCATAGTGATTAATCACAAAAATAATATGTAATTATATATGTGATTTCCGATGGTCTTAGGCAACCCCTATGAAAGGGTCATTTCACCCCAAAGGGTTGCGACCCACAGGTTGAGAACCACTGCTCTAGCTTGCTGGGTTCTGGGTCTATTCTAAATTTGTGTTTATAAATCTGTCTTCAGGCAGTTGAGTCCCGGGAGATGCTGATACCCCTCCGTGTAACGTTCTCCTGCTTCACATGAGTCAATTGCTTTTGGTGGTGTTGTAAGAAATCTCCAAACCTGTGGAGAATTTTTCTATGTTCATTTGACCAAAGTCGGCAACATTTGCCAAGAAGCAAAATAACAGCAGATTGAGTAATGCTCTTGAGAACGACAGTTTTGCACCTTTATTATACATTAGACTCAAAGGAGAAGACATAAGGGGGTTACATGAAATTCACTGGTAATAAATTAGAGTGGGGGGAATGAGGAGGGAAATCTCCGGGATTAAAAAATATGAAAAAAAAATAGACAAAATCTTCTTTTTAAAATGTTCTCCAATAGTTAAAAGTGAATATTTGACACAACAACAAGGTGTAGAGACCCAGCCCTAATAACCAAGGTCTCCTGTGTGTCAAAATCTTTGCTGAGATCAAAGGGGAGGCAGAGAAATTACAGCTCACTCTGAACGAAGGTTCCCCTGGAGAAGCCACTGCAGCTGAGAAATGATGGCGTTCCCCTGAACACGGGGAGGCCACGGGTATGTGCTCTGAGATGTAAAGGGAATGGGAGGAAACACATACCTGCAACCATGGAAACAGGAGCTGCAGGCGAGCCACCCTGGTCCTCAGACTGTACCTGCTCCAGTGAGGGCTGCACATCTGAGGTAGAGACTGTGTCTGACGCTAAGAAAATAATAGTTAAAATCCAACCCCTTGAATCTGACACTTGTCTGTGGTGTAAACTTGGAGACCTTACTTCATTTTTCTGTCAATGAACTTTTCCACCAATTTGATATGGGCCACACCACAATGAGATCTGAATGCCCACAGCACCTGCCTCAATGCAGCAGAGTCAGAGGCTTCTTATAGGTCCCATTTCTCACTAAAATGCACCCAAACACAAAGGTGCTTGCGGGCATCTGGGGAGTGAGGAGTGCCTGCCTGGGAATGTCTCTGCAGGGAGTGACTGGAGTTGCTGGAGCCAAGGAAGGCTGCAGGCACAGCTGCGTTACACAAGTGGACACCTTACCACTGGACCTTCTCCAATAGCTCTGGCATGGACATACCTCATACCTGTTTTTCACAGGAGGAAACTGACTTAGACCAGCAGAAGGGGTTCTTTCTTTCTTTTTTTAAAAAATATATTTTATTGTTTTTTTTACAGTGAGGAAGGGAGAGGGAGAGTTAGAAACATCAATGAGAAACATCGATCAGCTGCCTCCTGCACACCCCTCACTGGGGATGTGCCGCAACCAAGGTACATGCCCTTGACCGGAATCGAACCTGGGACCCTTCAGTCCGCAGACCAATGCTCCATCCACTGAGCCAAACCAGTCAGGGCAGAAGGGGTTATTTCACTGTAAGTTCCAGTGATAACAGAGAATCTGAAATTCAAATGGAGGATGCCTGATCCAGGGCATAGGGAATCTGATCACTACCCATCTATTTCCCGCTGCCTTGGCTTTGGGACTCTAAAGCCCCCTGCCCACCCAGATGCACTCTGGCATTCCTGAGAAAACAGTTCCAACCCAAGAACCCCCATGATAGGAGACAAGGAAAATGAAGAAGACGACAAAGCAAGGGCTTAGTGCAGGATCAGACGACTGGTGTTCTGAAAGCAATGGAGAATGTTAGTAGTGCAGGTTAAAATTAAAAATGTTCATGACACAGGGCGTAGCATTTAAAAAGTAATGAATCACCCAGCTGGTATGGGTCAGTGCTTGAGCTTCCACCTGTGCACAAAGAGGTCCTTGGTTAGATTCCCTGTCAGAGCACATGCCCAGATTGCAGGCTCCATTCCCAGTAGGGTGTGGAGGAAGCAGCGATCAATGATTCCCTCTCATCATTGATGTTTCTTTTCTTTTTTAAGATAAGACTCAATTTTCTTTTTTATTGATTTCACAGACGAAGGGAAGGGGACAGAAAGATACAAACATCAATGATGAGAGAGAATCAGTGATTAGCTGCCTCCTGCAATCCCCACCTGGGGATCTAGCAGGGGCCCACGCCTATGCCCCGAGTGGCAATGGAACTGTGATCTCCTGGTTTATAGCTCAACTGAGCCCCCTCACCTGGCTATCATTGTTTCTCTCAATAAAACTATTTTAAAAATCAATTAAATATATTTATTAATTTAGTAAAATAAATTAAAATATTTTTAAATATTTAAGATATTTAAAAATATTAAAATATTTTTAATTATTTATTTCAGAGAGGAAAGGAGAGGTAGAGAAACATCAATGATGAGAGAGAATTATTGATTGGCTGCCTCCTGCAGGCCCCACACTGGGGATTGAGCTCGCAACCTGGGCACCTGCCCTTGACTAGAAGCTCACCCTGGACCTTTCAGTCCGAAGGCTGATGCTCTATTCACTGAGCCAAACCAGCTAGGCCAATTAAAATATTTTTTTAAGGAAAATATGTTAAAACACATTATTCCGGTACAAAAATGTTTATTTTTTAAAGTAAGAATGCACAAAATGAGTGAAATGCCAACATCCATCTTTGTTGTTCCACAATCCTATTGTTAAAGAAAATTGTCAAAACTCATACCACATTAGGCAGAACATATGTAAGATGTTTTAACAAAGATACGGACTCAGCAAACACACTTCTGAGAAAAGGCTCACCATAAATTCCTAGAAAAAATACAATCAAACAGTGAAGCAGCACAACAAACGTCTCAAGAAAAAAAAAAAGTTTAAATAAATTATGATTGACCAAACCAATTATTCTCTAGGATGTGGAGAATGTGAATCCCTAACACACTGTTGAAAAATGTAAAAAGCTACAATCAGTTAAAGTTTATTTTCTATTTTTAAAGAATAGTTTATTAATTTTTAGAGAGAGAAGGAAGAGGGAGAGAAACATGGATGGAAGAGTGCCATATCGGCCAGCCGCCTCCTGCACACCCACTTCTGTGGATCTAGCCCACAAGCCAGGCACATGTCCCCACTGGCAATCAAATCCAAAACCATGTGCTGCATGAGATCATGGCCAAGCACTGAGGCGGACCGGCTCTGGTGGTATATTCCATTGAGATCACAATTTGCTATGATTCAATCTCGGAAATTTAAACACTCACCTACTCAAAAACGCAGACTATGCGCTGAATTTTTCAGAAAGGTATATAACACTTATATACATACAAGGAATTATACAGAAATGTTTGTACCAGCTTTGTTAGAAATAACCAAATATTAAAACGGAAAAACTAATGGAGATATATCAATGATAAGAATATCTATCAGAGCCATAACTGGTTTGGCTCAGTGTATACAGTGGTGGCCTGTGGACCGAAGGGTCCCAGGTTCGATTCCGGTCAAGGGCATGTACCTTGGTTGCGGGCACATCCCCAGTAAGGGGGGTGCAGGAAACAGCTGATGGATTGAGCGATGTTTCTAACTCTCTACGCATTTCCCTTCCTCTCTGTAAAATTAATATATATATATATATATATTTGTATATATATATATATATATATATATATATATATATATATATATTTTCAGAGCTGTTATATTTGAGTTTCTTCTTCATTTAACTTTTAAAACACTACTATACTTGAATATTAAAACAAAAATAGCCAAGTAGTGAGCATATTAAGGTTACAGTCCTTCACTCATTAACTACTGTATATAAAATGCCAGCAGTGAGTGTTATTCAATGGCCCCATTAAGAGGTCTGACACTGAACACCACCCCTAGAATGATGTTCATCACCCTCATATGCTTCTCCATTGTAATGGCGCCATCTTTCTTGATTTGGATCAAAGCCCACCAGTTCTACCTGGTCCATTTCATCAGTCTCTTCTACTTCCTTCCTTTCAGGTAGGAGTTTTTCCAGCAGAGAGAGTTTATCAGGAGAGAGAAAGCCATTGTCAGGAAAGTTTACCTTAAATTCGATGAAGAGACGACCCTTT